GCTGAGACAATTTCTCAGTTACCAATCGGAGAAGACGCTTGGTTTGCTTCCCGGTAAAGTTCAAGGAGAAACGACAGCGTACCAAGGCATGATCAGAGTCGACGCAAGTATTCCAGTAAGAGCGGCAGTCTAGGATGGAACCACGCCATCTGTAACTTATGACAAACTGGTCAATTTGGGTCCATCGCTGGACAGCTACAGGAGGACGCCAAGTGGCACTTCGGCGCCCAATGTGTCTAAAAGCAGTGCTACAAAGAAACAACTGGTGCTCCACACACAGTTGCAGCAGACGCTCGCCGTTGTCAGTCCGTTCGGAGTTAAGTCCATAATTACCACCCAGATGAGCTTCTGAAGAGCTCAGACGCCCTACTTGTGCGTTCATATACCTTGCAAATACTATTATATCTGAACTAGTAGCACTGTGTAGTAGCGCGTTCAGTTCGTAATAGCATTAGAAATGTACTCAGTGGGAGCAAAAGCGGAAATCACAAACACAGCGTGTTATACTACTTCGTGAATAAAACTTAGCTGATGTCGTCAAGGCGGTTGCATATAAACAGCTGTTCACCGGAAGCCAACCAACCAACGATGGCTCAGCCTTGGAGCTTAGAATGATACCTACACCAGTTTGACCTGTGAGTGCTGCATCGGCGTCTCTGGATGCGTGCAACCAATAACGAGAGGATAAGTTGGGTGCGGTTAATTCAATAACCCCGTTAGGGTAATTGATCATAGTTGCAGACACAACATACATCAATACCTAGTGTGTCCAATGTGCGTGCGAACGTGGAACGTCGCCACGGAAACAGGACAGCGTGGCCTTATAAGGGACTGTTGCCGATAGGCGTACGGTGCGTGTCGCGAGAAGGTGGATGCAGATGGTTCTACTCCACTGGCACTTCTGTTGCTGTCAGTCAGGCTGGGAATTAAAAAAGGAAGGTTAGTGATGGAGATCGGGATGTAAGAGAAACAGGTAGAAAATAAAGGAGATGCCAGCAGTGGCATGTTTTTGTTTATCCGCCCTGCTGTGTGCAACAGATAAGGCGACATTTGATAACCTGCGCAACGCCCGATGCTGGATGAAGTTTATATTTGAAGAAAAAGTCATGATTGTATTTGGGCTGAGATACTGCTAGGGCGCCCAGACCTAGACAGGAAGACGATTAGGGTCCTCATCCAAAGGCTTTGGCTCAAAAGTTGTAAGCAAGGCAGCGGGGAAGTGGCAATGATGTAGTTTTACAGAAATGGACGCCATTCCATTTCAAACCCCCAACGTAGAGGACAAGGAGACTGAGCTCGTCTGACCTCTCATCATTGAACAGCCTGGTAGGAGTAGCTCTCAAGGTACGAGGAGGCAGCCTATCCTTCAAGGGTTTTGTAAGGATAGACTGCCGTCGTCGACCCGTTCAATGATCGCTTATCAATACTCGGGCTCCTGTGGTGCACGATAGGTGGGTCGCACGACGAGGCGCCTATCTCAGAAGATTCGTGAACACATCCCAGAATGGTTTTGCAAAGGCGAAATGTGGTCTTCAGATAGCTCAATCATGTCGCACCTCCTTGAATGTGGCCATATAGCTTCAGAGAATGACTTCAAAGTCATCTACTCACTACCTGAACACTTCTCCCAAGAATTCCGCACACAGCTCTTATCCATCACCATCTGAAGCCGGAATTATGTGTACAAAACGATTCATAAGGTCGATACTACTACCTTGGCGAACGGACACCGTTACTTAGGTATTTGGTTGTTATCTTACCTACTTAATTACTTTGGACTACTGAGCTTTGCGTATGCATGTTTATTTAGTTTACTTGGTTTACCATCTCTATCTCTGTCTCAAGTTATCGATTTTGATCATTCAAACAGTCCAAAAGTCAATTCCAGCCCGAGTTGACGCTTTCCTCACAATCAGTGTTATGTAAACGTTTGGGTCCGATGAGAGTTTAACGAAAATATTTATGCGCCCTGAAGTGATTACTGATATTGATTCATATTAATGGAACTGCGGAAGTGGCAGGCGCCGATGGGTTGTACTCTATCGAAATCGAGCGCATGGTGCTGTAACACATGTGGTCGCGAGTGCCTGAGACAGGCAGGCCTAGTGAGCCATGTGCGAGGCTACTAGGGGCCACTACCGAAGCGACGACGAGTCCTGCTGAGAACGTAGGCACAACGGTGCAGCGTTTGTAGGTACCTTGCACATGATTTACTAACCGCGTGCTTGCACGCTGTCTATTTCAAGTGGTGAATTTGCTACATTGTTCTAATGCTTTTATCTCATATAAATATCTACCTGAACTACCTTCTATAAACTTGCACAAGTCACTTAGGCTAAGTGTATTTAACTACGATAATACTTTCGGGTATGTGGCATTTTCATAAAATATATTTTCTGACGACTTGAACCTATTACGGATTTGTTCGTAACTAATTTATTTCATATGCTCATTTAGTGAAGAGTTATGTCCTCGTATCTATATGTATTATTCGATTTATTTTATGGATGACGTCGTTTCAAGTGATTGACTGTTGCTTTATATCCCCGGTGTGACTGCGTTTGATGTGGGCAAGGTGATTGCCCGAATCCTGCTCAACCGCCTCGTCAGTCAGGGTGTGGAACCTAAGGTGGCGGAAGAGCGGTGTGGATTCCGTTCAGGTCGCAGCACTATAGGTATGGAGTTTGCCGTTCGTTAGTTGCAGGAGAAGTGCGGAGAACGACATCAGCCGTTGTACTAGCTTTTGGTTGATTTCAACAAGGCATTTGATACGGTGAACCGGGGGGCATGGTGACTGGTAGTGTGTAAGTTTGGTTATCGGCGTAAGTTTGTAAGTTTGATTGAATGTCTGCATATTGGTATGCGGGCGAGGGTGCAGCTGAGTGGACAGACCTCGGATGACTTTGCAGTTATCTCCAATGCGACGCAAGACTGTGTAGGGCACGGAGAGGTAAGCGATGAGTAGGCATGCGAAGAACATGTCCAAGCCACGGAAGTCTGCGCAGAGAAACTTATACTGCTGTGGCCGGCAAAGTCTGTCTGATCTGAAAATCCTCCGTCGAACATCTTCATTACTAGGGAGATGTTGCCATCGTACACCAGCAATGCTCCGAAGGCAGCAGTGCTCAAAAACAGACAGCCTCTAAACATCCTTTGCGCGAACAGGCCAAGTCTCGCAGCCATAGAGCAGAAATGAGAATGTCAGCTAGATCAGGGCATACAGTGGCTATTCCTTGCATCAAATTGTCAATAATCCTCTGAAATATTGACGGTGCAGGATATATTCCAAATGGAAGTCTGTTGTTGTGGAATAAACACATGTGCGTATTGATGATTGTTATCTTTTTAAGCTGAATAAATTTAATTCCATTTTATCTGGTTTGTTCTGCCTACCTGAAAAGCAATCCCAAGCAAAGTGTCCTTGGTGCGCGCCAACATTCGATTTGTTTTTGAAGCTTAACCAGCATAGTCAAGCATCACGTATGCGACCTGGCGTCTGTCTTCACATCGATGCAGAATCGTCGGAAAAAGTCTTCGACTGGCAGATTGTCACATTAAAGCAGCGTGTTTACAGAGACAATCACTGTTGAATGACGGAGGAAAGGATAGAGAGGAAAAACAATCCACAAGTCGTGGTAGCTGGTTCAAAGCTGTGCTTTAGTGCGGACCCACATCGCTGAAGACTCATTGGATGCAGTGCAAAGTAGCATGGAACGCAATCGGTACAAAAACGCCCATTAGATACAACAGCAAATCTTTGAATGAATGTGGAACACAAAGGTAACTAAGCAAACAAAGCAGCATACACACTATACATGTAAGCTAGAGGTGGGAAACACCTCAGCTACTGTGCCGCAATACACAGAAAAAGGGAATAAAATGCAACAGGTGCAAGCCAGCTGAGCTACCGGTAACGGATGGGCATCGTTTCGGTAAGCTACCAGCCGGCTACTATGCAGTAGAAAAAAATAATAATTTCTCATGCAAAATTATAAAATGCTAAATAAAGAGATCGTGATTGGAGGGCAGGCTAAGAGGGATAGGGTGGTACAAAGAAACTCACAGCACAAACGCCACTGAGGTCGGCTTCTAGCCCTGTCAGCAAGTGTATCCAGCCAAACGTGTTCATCGTCTTTCAGATCCCAACCAGGGAGCCGTGAAGCTCCAGCTGAGGCCAGCTTCGAAGTGAGAGACTTCATTCCTCTCGACCAAGTCATCGCTTGGCCACCTCTCCTCTTTTTCCAGCCACACCACCGGCGCGCAAACAACGCACGTCGCGGGAATCGGTGTGTTAGCATGCGTAACACGTGGCCGATCCATTGGAGCATGGTGCGTGAAATCACTGTACTGAGCGTACTTTCCTTTTCCTGTGCCGTAAACAAAGCATCGAACACGCTCGTTGCTCACTCGGTGTTCCCACCAGATGTGAGCTAAATTGCGAAGGCACCGGTGGTCGAACGTAACTGGCCCCTTTATGTCCGTTAATGCTATATCCCAGTTACCTTGCAAATTATGTAGCCCAGCAAACATCCCCCATGGCTCAGTGGCTCAAGCTGCTGGCTAGCTGGCATCTGCCTCTAGCGGTCATGAGGTCGATCCTCCATTAGGGGACCGAGAGAATGCACACCACTGACGAGCCCCGATAGGGCTAAACGCGTCTGGTGCTTTTCCGGACTAGGCTCTGCTATGTAGCTTGTGAACTACTGGGATGAAAGCTTTATCAAAATTCCGAACAAAATCGGGCCGATAGGCAGGTCAGACTTCGTGAGTGATGTAGTAGCAACAGTCTAACGAATAGACATAAAACCAAACAAATCCATGAAAATCACCGGAAGAAGAAAGGTTTAATCATATCATCGTCACGGCACATTAGTTGAAGGTGAGCAACAGTTCAAAGAGTGCTGACATAAACAGAAAACCAGAGCGCACATTAGTGAAGAACAACATGGTGACACGCTCAAAGGAGCAACCTTGGAAACATCATGCCGACTCACAATTACCTGTCAAGGCGATAGGTTGGTCCACCATATTTGTGTAAACAGGTAAAATAACTTGTAAATTCAGCAGAACAGTGCCTCTTCAATTGCCTGAAAAAATTCTGGGCGCAACTTGTCACATTTTTGCCCTCGGTGAGACAAGCCCGGGGGTCATGATTTTCGTAACGGCAGAGCATAAACTCCTAAAAGAGAATTACAAATATGCAAGGCGAACTTTGCACTGATCATCACAAAACTTTCCCAAGTGAATGCCTGCAGCCAATAATGGTACCGCAGTAAGCTTGATCTCATCAGCTTCAAGCTCTTCGTAAGTGGGAAGAGGGACATCCAAAGAGACCATATAAAGCGTTCACAAGCCAGGTGAGAATAGAAGCAATTTAACGAAGCTGAAAAGAATAGAAAAATCATAAAGTGCATTGATATCAGCAGGAACACAAGCAAATCCGATAAAAAAAGATTGAAAAGTAAGGGATCGGGCAATTAAAGCCAAATTGATTTCTATCACCAGCTGAACAATCTCCTTCGTTACAGAAGAAGTACGCATACTGTGGTGCTTGCCGGTAATCTAAACGCCAAAGTCAGAAAATTGTCCTCTGATCAGCTTCATTTGGCCGAACAATATAGTGTAGGCTCCCGTAACAATAACGGTGAGCGGTTGTTCAAGTTCAAGTTCAAGCGGAACTGGAACGATAGGATGATCCCGTGAGTGTTCCTTCTTCGGCGGGTCGTTGAACCAGGAGTTGGCGAACTTTGAAATACTGATGGTTGCTACACCTGTGTGAAGATGCTCGCTTATTTCTCGCGAGCGCAAACTTTCGACATAGCACCTGCAGTTTAGTGACTTGGCGCCCACCAGTATGGGACCAGCAATGGAGGTAAAGCGATCACATCATCTGAGAGGCTGCGTGGAAAACTAGCGCCAACGTGAATTCCAATCACGCTCTTGTGTGTGCTGACGTTCGGATGCGTTTTGGTGGACGTCCGCAACGTCGCTCTGATTGCATTGACACCAGTCAACTAGCGAAGCCAGGTGCTCTGAATGCGTATCAAACTAAGCTAGCATCTGGGCTGAGTAAGCGTCCACTGAGCACCGTCGAAGATCAGTGGTCACATATTCGTTAAACGTTACTAATAGCAGACATGTCTACAAGTGGTAAATCAAATTACGAACGTAGACATTGGGTCTCTACAAAGTTTCTGGAATTTTTGGATGCTCACCGACGTATTCCGGTTGTAAGTGAACACAATGAGACTCGCAATAATCTCGGGGCAAAACTGCGTGATAGGCTGAAGAAAGACCGCGAAGCATGGTTGCTTCATCGTGCACCGTAAATCGAAACAGCCGCTGTCGTTGATAACCATCGTAAATTATCCCGTCGGATATGGCAAACAGGCAGCAGGGGAACTGGTGTTGGCGAGACGAGAGCAGACAGCCGATCCACCGCCTGTCAAAACGCTTGCAGCATTGGGCCGAACACTTTGCAAGGCAGTTCAACCAATTTGACTTTTTCTTTTTCGGGCATTGAGTGCCGTTCCCCCTGGGCCGGCTCCTTAGATCCGCCCTCAGGCACATAAGTTGAACATGAGATCAGATTGTTGAAATTGCATACGGCCGCAGATGTAGATAGAATATTCCCAGCCCTCTTCAAAAACGGAGGATCTGCTCTTGTGGACGACTTACACGAGTTGATAGTGAAACGTTGGGAGCAATAGACTGTCCCGACAGATTGGAGCCGTACTGTCATAGTCCCAATTTGCAAGGGAGACATTTGTTCGGAATGCGGCAATCATAAACGGATCAATCTGATTTCAATTGCCTCTAAATTGTTTGCGTCTGTCGTACTCCACAGACTGACTGGCGCTCGTGAAAGCCAGACCCGCGAAGAACAAGCCGGGTTTCGTCGAGTTCGAAACTGCCTCGACCACATCTCCATTTTGAGACACTTGCTGGAGCACGGCCAAGTTTATTTGCGACCCACCGTTGTCGTGTTTCTCGACATAAAAGGTGTCTTCGATTGGGTTGATCGATATGCTGAAAAAAGGTGTGCCCGATAAGTAGGCAAACCCGGAAGGGGTCCGCTGGGAGGTGCACCACTGAAGCAAACCTAAGTCGAAACGCCGGCATCTGGTGCTTTTCCAGACTAGCCTAAGCCTGCTGATTGGGAGTGACGATGATGAACTAGCTAAAGTATACCAAAATCCTCACTACTATAAAATATGTCCGTATAGCTTCTAAGTCCTATGTTGTAAACAGGCGCTATGCGGAAAGTCCTAGCTCATGAGGCTAGCCATTGTCCCCTGCACAGTATGTAACTGGCACAGCAGTGGAAGATGAGCCGGGCTATATCAGTCAACTGTCAATCACGCAGGTCTGCGACTGTCACCTATGGCGTAGTGGCACTACCTGCTGGCATCCTGAAGTCATGGGGGTGGAACCCGGTAGGGGTCCGCTGGGAGACGCACCACTGACGAGACCCAGAAGGTCGAAAGGCAGGCGTTTGATGCTTTTCCAAACTAGCTTGCTGATTGAGAGTGACAATGGTGAATTAGCTTAAAAAATGCGTAAACATTATCCAAGCGCTGTACGCGCATAGTTCGGGCAGAATGTGGGTTTATGGCAAACTGTTGCACTTCAATTTCTCCAGCGGTGTAAGACAAGGATGTCCGCTGTCACCTTTCCTATTTAACTTCGCTATTGACAAAGTCATGGAAACAGCATTCGCTGCACACGACCGAGAAGATGTGGAGCTAGTTCCAACTGAACGACTTCTTGACTTGGAGTATGCGGAAGATATTGCCCGTACAGCGTACAGCGCTCTAGGTATTTATCGAGCGCAGGTTTCACCAACAGAGCTCCAAAGAGCACACAGATCCACCGAATCGGAGGTAGCTTGTATGTCGAGAGACACAACAACGTTCGGTCGATATATTCATGGTGGTGCTCCAACAACTGACGCGAACTAAATATGTGGTCGATAAAGCCTCGATTTCCACGAAATGCGGCTTGCTCCTTACGAATCTGAGGTTCAAAAGTGGAGAGCGACAGACACAAGCAATTTAGAGACAATTAAGACCAGACTCACTCTCATTTGCATAGTCCGACATTCCAAGAAGTCGGTCATTCAAGAGTGAAGGCTGCAACTGACACCGATTTCCATAAGCTTCCAAGTTAGTCGATGGTGTGGGACTTTACCGAACGCTTTGCACAAGTCAACGAAAACCACATTTATGCGTTTTCCGGCGTCAACTGACCTCGTCCACTTTTCTCTCGCCACTAGCAGATTGGTGGAACACGAGGGTCCCTTTTGGAAACCAGGCTGGAAAGAGAAAGTGATATTATGTTCGTCGCAGTGCTTTTGTGGAGCGCATTTGCTGATCTTTTATATGACTTTACAGACGATAGATGTTAAGTAGGTTGTACGATAGTTCACACGGTCTTGACGATTTCCTCCTTTTTATTTAGGAATTACGATCCCAGTTTCCCAGTCGATGGGCAAACGACCATCCTTCAAAGACAGATGGATAAGACAACATAGTCAGCCACTGTCTTGAGGAAAAGGGGATGCAAACCGTCAGGGCCAGGTGAGGAGTTCGGGTTTAGTTCAAGCAGAAGTTTCAAAACTGTGTCCGGCCTGAATTCAGTAAGTTCTAGGCAGTAGGGGTGCGTGGACTCATGTATGTTGGTCGAGTGAGCTGGTGGCGAGTATACGGAGGAGTACTGTCTGGCAAGCAGATTCGCTTTCGCCTTGTCTTCATACAGCGTAGTTCTTGTGGCGTTGGATGACTGAGTGGGTATTCTGCAACTGACTTTGATTCTCCAGTTGTGATAAGCGTATAGCTTTTTGGTCTAGAGAAGGATTGTTCTACTAAACTGATGGGAACACAGGTTCCTAAGTGCCTGGTGGTTCGAGTAATTGGAGGCCAGTTGAGAGAACTTGATTTTGCCCCATAATTCCCGTCGATGGGTCATGAGGAGTCGCAGTTTTCGAGCAATCCAAGGTAGATTCACGCGCGGGGCTGCTTTCTCGAGTTTGGGATAACCTGTTTAATGAGAAGGTTCATTTTGGAGCGTAGAAGATTCTAGGCACCAGCAACATCTAGATCCTGAGTGGTCTAGTCCTGGGTGTCAGCCACTGTTCTTAGGCGGAAAGGATCGGTACGTCAAAGTTCCGACGGTAGACTCCTCGGTTGTGAGGGGCTAAGTGCTGCATCCAAGTGAAAAAGAAACTGCAGTGATCACTATGGCCAATCGGTGGAACAGGGATCAGATCAGAGACGTCAGCTAGTGTCGGTGATAGCACAAGATCGAGGATGCGCAGTAGCTGATCTGGTAGCATCCTGGTAGGCGTAGAGACATGCTGTAGTAGGTTAGCTGCAAGAATTGCACTAAGAGTAGCACCAAAAAATTCAAGTAAGAGTCTGCAGTTGAGTAGATCCCAGTTGACACCCATAGCATCGAAATCCCAAAAAGTTAGGCAGTTCTTATCTCTCCCATAGGTTGCAACTGATTCCAGAACGCGGGCACTGTTACTCGACGGCGGCTTGTATACCACCCCGAAAGTGAAGGACTTGCATCAGTTATGGACTCGACACCATACCATTTCTGAACCACCATCGCTAATGCTTTCGATAGTGTGACGTTTTAGGTATGATCTCTAGTAAATGATAAGGTTGCCACCACTCTTTGTCCCATGGGGATCAGCCCGAGAAAATCGATATCTCGGGATAGGAACTTTTCCATCAAATGTGCCCGGTGTTAGCCAGGACTAAGTGAAAGCGAAAAAATCTTCGCGAAGCTCGGATATGAGAGCGAACTCATCCCATTTGTTCATTATGCCACGAACATTAGCAGACATCACTCGCAGTTCATGCGCTGCTCCTATTCTTACGATCCGGGCAGGGCAAAGTGTAGCGTCTGTACATATCGCCTTTGCAACTGTACTTTCTTTTTCCTATTCACATCATCATTATACAGTTTGTTTTAATTAACTCGATCAATACATTCTTCTTCGAATCTCGTGCTGCGTTATAGCTCCGGTCTGATGCGTGCGTCTTCGTTGTGTTTGCTCGGCACGGTGATATTCGCTTCAATGGCCAGGAACTATCGTACTGCTCACGCTAAGTTATACACCGGATCTTAGTATTAGGCTGGGAATCATTCGAAGTCGGAAGCTTACTGTGGATTAGTGACTGCTTTTGCCTAAAACATTTGATTTCTGAGTAAAGCTATTTTTGTAGTGGTAACACGTTCGCTACATTTTTGGCGATCATGTTTGCATTTATTTTTGTTTTTTTAACACTTCTTTGAAACTCAGAACTTCCGTCTTTGCCATGGTTTATGAACACGCTTGCTCTGATGAGACAGCAGAATATTTCGTTGGTTTTTC